TATTTTATTTGTACCTAGGATTTAACTTATTGCTATACACAACTAAAAATAAAATGCCACTTTCACGGTGTAATTAAATAATAAAACACAAATTCAAGCCAAAATATCACAAATGGTCTTGTAAGGGCAGCCTAATATAGCCTTGAAACACCGGATTTGTGGTCAATATTGAATTTGTAGGTGAATCGCTTTTTGAACATTATTACCGTATTTGTATATATTTTTGAGAATGTAATTACACATAAATATTATTAGTTGATTATTTAAACGTTTATAAATTATTTTGTGGCGATATTTCGTAAATATAAACTGTTTAAATCATATAATTTAAAAATAAATTAATTAGAAATTCTTTTGCATTAAGTATGCTTAATATACTTGGCAACACTATAGAAACAAGTCATACATATTGCGCATGCTTCTAGACACACTATTTTGCGATGTCAGGCGCAGAGACGCGTTTATATCATGAATGTATATTACTAATGGAGATGCCATGAGGCAATTGTTTTGCATATGATACGTTTTATAAAAAATGACCCCACTGGGCGTGGCTTAAATGGTTGACTAAGCAGGGTCGTATTCAACTATAACTAAAGTTCGTATGCAGACACACAACTTTTAAATGACTTACTTACCTAAGATTTGTTTCAACATGATTGATTCGAAATTAATTTGATGACATTGCGCAATTATGACTTCTACACTATTTACTATTATTTATTAACCGTTTTCCGACCAAGCCAATGCCAAGACCATAAAAGAAATTAATATTATTATATTGTTCTGTCTTCGCCGAAACCGTCCGATATATGACCTGTGTGATCGAAAATCAACGTGCGAATAACAATGAGCATCAGATTTGTTAATCTCTTTGTGCTTTAAAACTAAAACCCGAACTACGATTTTTCGTTCAAGGACTCTCTTGTCCTGATCAAAGCTGCCAATGTCAAAATCTGACAATGAGGAGAATTATGACATCAAATTACCAAACCAAAAACCAAACCACTACGTGAATTGTGAATAAATATATTTCAGTAAAAATACAGCCGAGTTTGTAGAAAGAACAATTAATTACTTTTAAATGTAAAACAAGTAGGTCTTTCTGCTGCAGATGACATACATTAAAAATATGATCCGCTACAGTCAAAAGTTTAAAAAGACCAAAAATTTAGCTAGGTATGACTATATGGTTAAAAGTAGATGGAAGGAAACCATGATCAAAACTACTCTGTCAAAACCAATCGGAACTAAAAAGACTCAGATAATAGTTGTTGGTTTTATTTATATTTGAAATAATTAATTATATAGGGTAGGTACATATATTACTAAAATTGCAAGCAAGTACTTACTAAAGATTTCTATTATTGGTACCTATGTATAATAAACAACAATCTCACAGATGCACAGCAAACAACTATACAAATGGAATTATAGAGATAATTTATTTTAAAAATAGGCATTCAGTTGCGATTTGTGATTACAAAAAGAAAACTTTAACCACTTTTTCTGATCAGTAATGTTAGTGTTATAGTGAAAAAGTTTCTAGAAACTGGTGTTTTTAATCCTAATAAAGCATTGTGAATTTCCAAGAAAAGTGCATGATGAAAATTGTTTTGACCAAAATTTTGAAAGTCATGCCATTTAAATAGAAACCCTGTGGCTGTGGATAACATTTGAAACAAAATCTTATCCTAAAAATAACTGTTTGGTTGCATTGGAGGAATAATTTCTTCATTGGTACTTTTTTAGGGTGCAAGGATGACTTGACATTACTAAATTTAAACCTTTGTTATAAGTTGTCTTTTTGCTTTAATTTCTGATACACCTGTATTGTACATACTTGAAAAATATAAAATTGTTCAAGTGGGAAGTTTATATTCAGGGTGTCTCATTGAGAAAGAGATACAGAACAACTGAAGAGTCTGATTAAAAATAAGACTATGCTTAGAATGCGAATATTCTTCATTTTAATTTTGAAGTTCCTTATAAGTTCCCAACAAAAGTACCTATATAATTTACTTAAAAAACATCAAAAAATATATAATTATAGTTCAAATAAGTGTAACGTATCTTATGACACCAAAAACTTTTTTTACTTAAATCATTTAATATATTTTTTAAGTTGGCAATTTTATTCACCTTTCGAGAAAGTTGTCGTCTTAGCAATTGTAATTTTTGCTTTCTTTTTGCACTTGTTGCCCGGACAGAGGAGAGTATATGTAATATTTTTTGTTTCTTTGGCGTCAGCGGTTCTTCATATGGAATATTTAGAGAAGAAGTAGAGGGTACAGGTAATTCGATCTGACTGGTTTGATTTGCTGGTTTAATAAGAATATTTGATAGGATCCTGATTTTTGGAGGAAGAGGTGTAGGTATGGATGGGTTAGTCTGGAACAAGATTTGGTATGTTATAAAGCCTTAAATATAGATCCATAATACAAAAACTACTAGTTTAAGTTCCAAAACTACTAATTTTTAAATATTATTAACTTCGTAATATGTTTTAAATTATATTTATTGTGTATTGTGAACAAAGTCGGCAGGTTTTTAAATTAAGGAACATCAATTTAATGTTTGTTCATTTAATATTAATAATAATTGTAATATGTTACATAAGTGGGCATATTATTTTATATCATGAGGATGAGGAGGTACATAGCAGTGAGTGATGGCCACAAATCTAATTAAATAATAAAAATACATCACCAGTATTTATTATTATACAGTATATTCATTATCAAAACGGTATAATAACAGGAAATTAGGATATAATAAAAACTGCTTTTAAATACTTGAAATTTTATTCTAAATTATGTGTTACTTAAAAAGTTTTAAGTGTAATTATAAGTTAGTTTTTAAGTTGAATTATAAGTTGGTTTTTAGGTTTAATTATAGTTGGTTTTTAAATTTAATTATAAAGTTAGTTATTTAAGTTTTATTATAGTTATCTAAGTTTTAATATAGTTATTTGTCTTTATTATAAAGGTAGTCTAACCAATGTTCTTTATTAAGTTAGTTATTTAAGTTTTATTGTAAATAAAGTGTATACTAACTAAACATTCATTTATTGTCGGAACAGCATTCTTCTTCAATCTGACCCTAAACTCACTCTTATCAAAAAATTCTTCCTTGAAGTGAATAGTTCACAACATGCTATTTGGTTTAGGCTCAAATTGGTATTTTCCCACAAATTTAGACCAAATTTTGAGATATGTGGGTCTTTTGGAAACCTATAATAAAAAAAAGTTAAGCATTCTAAAAAAAATTCTAAGTACACTCCTTATACTTACTTATGAAAACCTAAATTAGATATTTTCTTACGCTCTTTCACTGAATAGTTTTTACAATTAATTTTGGCACAATTAGTCATGATTTTTATACAAATTATTCAAAAAAAAAAACACTTATTAAGATAGAAATAACGTCGAAATATTTAAATTTGAACAAAGTTCTGACAGCTCTTTGACAACTATGACATGACCACTGAGAAAAGGGGAAGGGATGTCGTTTTTTTTGGCATGTCATCTTCATAGTATTCAACCTCATTGGTTTTTATGCAAAGTAGGTTTTAATTTCTGCTAAAATGTTATATTTATATTTTTCTTTTATAATATTTCTATGGTGTGTGTTCGCTTATGTATTCGAACTTGAGCCGGTCCTGTCCAAGCCGGCAGAGTTATGCGCATGCGCTCCGATGCTCTATTTGCTCCTTATGATTTCACTTTTGGCATGGAATTGGCTACTATTTCTATAAGATTTCTATGGATACACGTCAATGTTTTTGTAACTTTTATAATGTTTGTAAAAATGTTTTAGTGTTGTTTAATTGTTCGTCATACATTATTTTTTAGGCCTGATAATGACGCTGCGTTATTGCAACTGGTCAATAAATTCCTGTGAAATTTTAGTTTTCTAAACTTGATTATGGACTATGTTTTCATTTTGTACATCATTATACTTGCACATCGTAAGAATTTTATTTTTAACATGGATGTTATTGCGAATTTTCTGTAACCGCTGCTGAGTTGTTGAAATTTTGAGTCTTAAAAGAAATATGAACCATTAATAACACCAGTATTTGTGATATAAAGAAATGGTTCTTGCAGCTATAACTACAGACACATAAATCAACAACCTAAAAAGCACTTTATTTTTTTAATAAGTTGCAGTTCTTTTAGTTCAAGTGCTCGAAGAGAGAAATAGAAGAATGAGCAGTGTGTAAGTACATCGATATTTTAAAAGTAAGGAGAGGCAAAATGGACAATAAATCATCCCAAGCAATTTAAAAATAGATAAAATAAAACTTGGAATTATTGATGATGTGACAAGTATCGATAATTTTAACCACCCACTTCTAGAAACATCTATTTAAACCTTTTCTACTGCGTATTTGTTAAGATATAACTGATTTATTACCTGCTAAAAGTTGCGATATTCTTCTTTAATAAAAATAGTGTTAGAATATAGTAGAATTTTAATACAAAATGCAAAATACATAATGCATGGTAGTCTAATAACATTCTTCATAAAAACAAAATTATTCTTGATCCAATATTTTGAAATAAGTATTCTGGCCCTATTTGTTTTAAAAGCAATCATCATAAAATTTTAATAGTTTTCTATAAAATAAAATATTTTTAGTCGCGTTCCTACGAGTATTACAAGTTATAAGTGCATTGCGTATATTTCTTTTCACATAATTTCCTTTTATTTTATATATATTCTGATACTTGTATTGATGTTTCCCTTAGTTGCTTCTCGGAGACTTCGACAACATCTAATAGCACCCAGAGGCAATTTGGCAAGTTCTATTGTAAATGTTTCAACCCCTAAATCCCTCTCCGCTGAATCGCGTATATAATGAAACAAACTACATCGAAGGGAAAACAGCTAATATATTTGCTTGCAGGTATCATAAATGTCGAATAATATTAGAACAGAATTAGCATAAGTTTTGTAAATAGAAATAAAATTTAACTTACGAAAAATTCAGTTAAATGAAAAATATTTCAAATGAAACCATTAATTTTGATAAATATTATTTTGAGTAAGTTTATCTTCTTATTCGATATTCTGAAAATCATTAAAATATTAAAGTTACCTTATTTATTTGTAAGCAGTTTCGATTACTGATGGGCATGTCATCACTTGGTAAACTTAGAATTGACTACATTATTGTGATGTATAAAACTCCTGATAATTGAAAGATCAAACGAATTTACTTAAAGTGAAGTTCGATATCAATTATATGAAACGAATTGATCGAGATGATCATAGATAGTATCCCCGTTCACTGCCCTTTGGCCACGCATTTTAAAGTATAAATACTCTCAAAGGTATTTTGAAAATTCTAAAATAACAACTGCTCGTGACAGTCCTTCCCAACTCTGCTCCTCTTACGTCATTATTTTGAAGCAGTAATTATATTCGAATCTTGTACAGATGATCTTGGGTATAGGTGTGTGTGGGTGGGTTCGATCATCTCGAACAAGGCGTTTCATACAATTGAGATAGAACTTCACTTCAGGTAAGCTCGTTCGATCTTTCACGTTTTCTTCTCAATTTTATTTTCATAGAAAAATGTTTAAAGAAAAGTTGAAACATAATAATTACCGAGAAAATTTTTATTTAAAACCCAATTAAACCATTATTTGAACTGTTTTGGTATATTCTAAGTACCCTACTAGTATCATTTTATTGCAATAACAGAATAAATTCTCATTAAATTTAATACAATGTAACTTTTGACTGAAAATAATTACATAGAACGAACATTACGAAATCGGAATTTTGTTATTAATAAAATTTTTAAAAAGTCTTTCATGGAAATTGTTAACCCGGCGCCCGACGGGTGGGATAGCATTACAAGTTCAGTCACGTGGGGTGTGACATACCTCATTAAAAAAAAAACTTGAATAAGGACGTACATCCTATAATTAGGCATTGTGCTTGCTCTTGAAGCTATAAAAACCCATGTTTCAGCGCCGGGCATAATAAACAGGAAAGGATCTCCATGGATCCACAGACATTTCCATATATACGAATCAGTTATAAATTATTAACCAGCTTGTTTTACAGTACATACTGCATAATAAATATGGGAAAAATATCTATAGGTCCCCTGGTATTAAATCATTTATATATGATTCAGTTATAAACCAGTAACTAGCCTGTATTTTTTAATGGAGTATTATAGTATAACCAGGGCTTAACAATCCAACAAAGTTGGTATCACTGGGAATACGTCACAGTTACAATCCTGCGACACCAAGTGGTGGCGCGCGCAGTCCATCTTATACTTTGCGTATGGTAACGGCACGGCTATGGAGGGTAGAGGAAAGGAGAACAATCTCTGTATACAAAAAGTGTCCCTCAAAATGCATACAATTAAGATGGCGCTTCTGTGCCCAGGGGACGTCGACAGTCGATAATTCAGATCACACAATGACACCAATGATGTATATAGTAATAAATATTGCTCAACCATAAAAAACTAAAAACTACACCGTGAAAAGTGACTGGTCGTAGAAGAGTAAGTGTTATGTGATCGTAGATAAATTTTGACAATACACGACAATAGTCAAATTTTATTGAAAAATAATAATATAAACAATAAATAATTCTTATGAATGAGCAATCTATATGACTATATAGCATTGGATTTTGTCCCCTGGCTACACGAGCGCCATCTTAATTGTATACATTTTGGTGGCCACTTTTTAATATAAAGATCCATATAAGATTGCCCTCCTTATTTCTACCCTCCATAGGCACGGCATAATAAACAATCGGCAGGCTAGCTTGTCTTGGCGGCAACGCTACGCGCACATCTACGCGCACACCGCCATTTTGGGGTCCAACCTCTCAATCAAGCCAGTGGCGTCACTGTCGTCGTTTATATCGACAAAAACAAACAAGTTGCAGTAGCACGGAATCAGTAGCGTGTATCTTAAATTTATTTTGTTTGTGATGTTTATATTATGTAGTGATTGTTATTTTTTTAGAATTATAGATATTTTTTGACACTTTTTATATAGTAGTTGTTTGCCAGTATTAATTTGTTAACTTTTAAGTGTTTTACTATGTCTGGGCAAAGTTGTGCAGCAAAAAACTATATAAATAAACTGTATTAAAAGAGTTTTTCGGTTTCTTAAAGATCTTATTAGGTATGTATGGTATACTTTTAAAAAAATCCTAGTTTATGAGTCAGTTTGTCAGTTATAATAATAATAATAATAATAATAATAATAATAATAATAATAATAATAATAATAATAATAATAATAATAATAATAATAATAATAATAATAATAATAATAATAATAATAATAATAATAATAATAATAATAATAATAATAATAATAATAATAATAATAATAATAATAATAATAATAATAATAATAATAATAATAATAATAATAATAATAATAATAATAATAATAATAATAATAATAATAATAATAATAATAATAATAATAATAATAATAATAATAATAATAATAATAATAATAATAATAATAATAATAATAATAATAATAATAATAATAATAATAATAATAATAATAATAATAATAATAATAATAATAATAATAATAATAATAATAATAATAATAATAATAATAATAATAATAATAATAATAATAATAATAATAATAATAATAATAATAATAATAATAATAATAATAATAATAATAATAATAATAATAATAATAATAATAATAATAATAATAATAATAATAATAATAATAATAATAATAATAATAATAATAATAATAATAATAATAATAATAATAATAATAATAATAATAATAATAATAATAATAATAATAATAATAATAATAATAATAATAATAATAATAATAATAATAATAATAATAATAATAATAATAATAATAATAATAATAATAATAATAATAATAATAATAATAATAATAATAATATAATAATAATAATAATAATAATAATAATAATAATAATAATAATAATAATAATAATAATAATAATAATAATAATAATAATAATAATAATAATAATAATAATAATAATAATAATAATAATAATAATAATAATAATAATAATAATAATAATAATAATAATAATAATAATAATAATAATAATAATAATAATAATAATAATAATAATAATAATAATAATAATAATAATAATAATAATAATAATAATAATAATAATAATAATAATAATAATAATAATAATAATAATAATAATAATAATAATAATAATAATAATAATAAATAATAATAATAATAATAATAATAATAATAATAATAATAATAATAATAATAATAATAATAATAATAATAATAATAATAATAATAATAATAATAATAATAATAATAATAATAATAATAATAATAATAATAATAATAATAATAATAATAATAATAATAATAATAATAATAATAATAATAATAATAATAATAATAATAATAATAATAATAATAATAATAATAATAATAATAATAATAATAATAATAATAATAATAATAATAATAATAATAATAATAATAATAATAATAATAATAATAATAATAATAATAATAATAATAATAATAATAATAATAATAATAATAATAATAATAATAATAATAATAATAATAATAATAATAATAATAATAATAATAATAATAATAATAATAATAATAATAATAATAATAATAATAATAATAATAATAATAATAATAATAATAATAATAATAATAATAATAATAATAATAATAATAATAATAATAATAATAATAATAATAATAATAATAATAATAATAATAATAATAATAATAATAATAATAATAATAATAATAATAATAATAATAATAATAATAATAATAATAATAATAATAATAATAATAATAATAATAATAATAATAATAATAATAATAAGCTTTATTGTCTAACAGAATTACATCCATTAATAAGACAATTCGAATAAGAATAGTAAGAAAATATACAAAGTAATTAAAAAAATATTAGTTTACAAATAAATGAACATTTGATAGGATACAGCCCGCCAAGTTTATTATTGATTAAATAAGATATTTTTCACTGACTTACTAAAACTACATAAAGTTTGATTGAATATATCAATATGTGGACTAAGTTTGTTTAGTTCCCTGCACATGATATGTAAAGGCGATTTTAGCATGATATTAGTACTTACTGAGGGTAGGTAGAACAGATTTTTGGATCTGGTATTTAAGGGAACATAAAAATTTAGTTGGTATAATAAATCAGAACAATCAATCATACCATTAACCAACTTGTACAAAAAAATTAGAGATATATAAACTCGTCTATCCTTGCAAGTTGGCAAGTTAAACCTTTGAAGTAACCGAGTGTGATCGAATCCACGGGTAGGATACACTCCATCCATTTTAAAAGCCATATATTTGACAAATTTACGCTGAACTTTTTCTAAATGTTGAATATGAGCCTCATAATAAGGATTCCAGATTAGGCATCCATACTCTAATTTGCTTCTTATGTAATGGAAGTATAGTAGTTTAGTTGTAGAAGCATTTTTAAACTTATTGCGGGAGCGATATATGAATCCCAATAGTTTTGTGGCAGAAGCAGAAATGGCTGCAATATGTGAGTTGAATGACATTTTGGAATCAAATGTAATCCCTAGATCTTTGAAATTTGAGACGCGAGCAAGTGACATAGATTGAATTTGACAGTAGACTTAAGGCAAATATAATGTAAGCTGTTCATTGGGCGTTTCCCAAATAAATACTTTTTCAATACAATTGTAAGTCAATAATTTTTAATTTTACTTTACATTTACTCATTTCTAAATATTTTAAATACATTCATATTATCAAATAAAAAAGTAGAAATTATTAAAAACTACCTTCCTTCATAACTATAATTTTACATTGACTACGATACTTAAAAGATATCATTTACAAAATTAAAAATTTTATATGATTAATTAACTGGTTTTGAGTTACTCTGTACCTGAATAAAATAACTATTTTTAAAGAAATTTCATTATAAAAAAGAACATTTATATATATTTAAATATTTGACACACACCATCTCGGATATAAATCTATAAATTATGGACTATTATGTAGATTTAATTAATTTACAGTTATTTAAATGAAATTCAAAATTTACAAGTGTTCTTACTCCACCCATAAGTTTATGCAAATACTTCCGAATTATTTACAGCTTACAACTAACAATTTGACCTAACAACATGTATCTATCTTAAATATCTGTATATCTCTATTCGCAAAATCAGTGGCGGACCTTCAAGATGGCAATAAAAAAATAAAACTTACCAAAGTAATTTTGTGTCATCTATGCATATTATGCCTCATAGATTATAAGAAATAGGTAATCCATTATTTATTAATCATTTTAACAGTTTTAAACGTAATTATTCCATGTTTTTGAATTACTTTATTAGTGTAATTTATATTAAGTTGTATATACGAGGTAATATTTCATACTTACTCTACCATGGTAAATGTCGTAATATTTTCAAAACAACATTTAATTTATTTAAAATAATCTTCTTGTAAGATTTACACATTCAGCATAACGTTCATAAACTAATTGTAAGCCCTTTTAACAAATACTTTGTTTTGCATATTATTTCCGAAACTTGGCTTACAAATTTAATTTCCGATCTTAATGTGTCAATTCCAGGATACCATATAGTAAGATGTTGCCGAGAAGGGCAGATTTAAAATATGCGCTCTTAACTGTAAATGTAAATAATAATGTTGAAGAGTTATGGATCAGAATTTTATTTGATTATTTACATTTGCAATAGGAGTATATTATAAACCTCCAACAAATAATATTTTAAAATGTTTGAGGATTCCGAACTGAGTCGCGAAAGTGTAAACACTGGTACACGGCTCTCTGCGATTTTTAATAAATTGTGTCGAAAATAGGAGTTGTTTATTGATGAACTTGTTAGACAAGTAGACTAGATAGTGATGCACCGCTTGTGTTAATTTTGTTGTGAACTTTACACATAGCATCCTTTGTTTATTGACTGTGATTATTTGCAATAACTATTCTTTGATACTATGTTAAATCAATAAGCAATATTGTTGGCCCAAACAAAATTGCACACGCTTCAAGATTATCAAATGGCAGAATCTGCATTTACCTCTCCAAGACTGATATAGTTGACAATTTAATTATAGACTATGCCATTATCTCAATACAAGAAAATAAACTGTTAATTCGCAGACTTGTCACTCGATCCAAACGAATTATAATATCTAATGTCTGCCCATCTATTCCAAATAAGCTCATAGAAAGTGCAATCTGGGATTTAAACTTGCAATTAGCTGGAATCCCGGATAAAGAGTACAATCATATTTTAAGCTTTAGACGTCAGGCGTATATTACTCCAACAGTAGAGAATATTGATATCCAAACTTCTGTTATTATACCTTACGAAGGCAATAATTATAGAATCTTCATCTCTACTGATATTATGCAATATTTTATTTGTAAGCAGTCTAATCACATTGCAAGTAACTGTCCTAACTCAACATCTGTGGATCCTGAGGAATCTAAAATTACCGCCCATACTGATACTCCTATGGAATCTGAAATTACCGCCCATGCCAATATTTCTGCGGAACAAAATACTTCCTCTCCTACAGATTTTAGCTCTTCCTCAGAGACTCTGCAAAATTTGAATGATAGTCACCGCACTGACCAAAAGAGAATTCATCCTAGCTCCAGTGACCAAAATAGCCCTCCTGAAACCCCTGAAATTGATCTTCTCTCCCCCCCAGACCCCCATCCAATGCTCCTACCATAAAATCGCTTCCCAAAAAATATCCCAAAAACCCAAAAATCTGTTACGAAGTCCACACTAAAGAAGGCTAAAAAAGAATCTTCAAAAGATGCTAAACTTACTGATGCCTCCAAGGCCACAATATTATCAGAAAAACCCCAACGATCTCTCCCTATCTGTGCATAACTTTATTGCTTACATATAGAATACCTTTGGGTGTAGTAACCCCTATTCTGAAGCTTTGCAATTTACCTTAAATGTTAGATCTCTACTTAAAGACATGCACCTAGTGTAAAGGGTGTTTCTAAATTCATGCAACAAAATTCAGGAGGTGATTGCTCATATGAAATTAAGATGGGTCTTTCCTATAACAAAATTAGCTCAGCTCACCCCATTTCCAAGATATCACACTTAAAATGTGATGACTAAAAATTAGTTTTTATTTTTTTTTCTAAAATTTGAGTAAAGCTAGAAACTTGAAATTTTGTAATTTTTGTGCACTTGCAAAGTACTAACCACGGCTATATTTTCAATATTCCTGTTACATTATAGGGGGGTGAAATTAGCAACCCTTACTTTATTTCATATCAAAACTTTTTTCCTGACACCTGCCAATCTGATTTCAGACCCCAACGCAGCATCTTAGATATTCTATCAATACTACAGTCTGCTGTATTCAGTGCTTTCTCAAAAAAACAGGATGTCGTAGCAGCTATCTTTGATATCTAGAGTGCCTTTGACACCCTTCTGAGATCTACAATTCTCGAAAATCTTAAAAAGTGCAACGTTACCGGAAACTTATTCAGTTTTATTAAAAATTTTCCTACTAATCGCGTGTTCAAAATTACTGCAAATGCAAAAACATCTTCTACCTTCTCCCAAGAAAATAACTCCATTGCCCCTTCGGTCAAACTTTCTCTATATGCAGATGACCGCATTGTCTAGTGTTCTGGTAAAAATGTAACATCTACCTCTACACTAATTCAAGAAGCTGTGAATCAGCTCATTTTGTGGTCTACACGTTAAATCCTAATATTTCCATAAACGGTAGTCCTTTAGCAGTACTCGACCATCACAAGATCTTTGGGCTTATTTTTGACAGCAAACTTAACTGGATAAAACACCTCTGCAAATTGAAAAATAACTGCCTAAACTGACTTAATATTCTAAAATCGTTATATCACCATCAATGGGGAGCAGAAAAAGAAGTTTTACTCAAGGTGAATAGAGCACTAATTAGATCCAAGATATATTATGGAAGCTTCGTCTATATGACGGCAACTAAATCTGCTCTAAAAACTCTGAATTCTGTTCAAAATTTTGCATTATGAATATATCTAGGAGCTTTTAGATCCAGCCTCTCTGAAAGTTTATGTTGTGAAGCTAACGAACTACCTCTCTGGCTGAGGCGACAACAGCTTCTTCTTACCTATGACGCAAGGATTTCAGCAAATCCCAGAGATCCATCATATTCCTTAATTAACGCGGCATAATCGAACGTCCACGTTTCCACTCTTAATGTTCAAACATTACCACAAATCCTTGCTCCACTTCTCGCTGTTATCCATTTATCTCAAACAACTCCAATTCCTATATCTCCTATGGCGCCACGGAAAAAATTTCTACCACTTTTTTTTAATACCACTCTAGCTTATGACCCTAAAAACGAAACTCCAAGTAACTTTCAAAAACAAGCTTTTCTAGAATTAATAAATTCTTCCCAATTCGACGCCATACTATACACAGATACTTGTAAAATAAACGACTATGTCGGATGCTCTGTGATCTCTGGCCTTGATATCATCTCTACAAATCTTCTTTCACATTTTTCCAGTGTTCACACTGGTGAGCTGTTCGGCATCTATCAAGCTGTAAAATCTGTTAAAATCAACACGAGAAGAGTGGCTATCTGCAAAGACTCATTTGCATCAATCATGTCAATAAAAAATCGTTTCTCACAAAATTCAGTGGTCCAAACAATACATGAATCCTGTCATATTCTCATTGCGCAAGAAGTATCCATAACAGTGATTTGGATACCATGAGATGTGGGTATACCAGGCAACGAGGCAGCCGATCGTGTAGCTAAGGAGGCATCCTCATCAAATTTAGCAATGGAAAACATTCAGCTACATAAAGACATCCAAATTTTTTTTTAAATAATATTAGGAGAACATGGCAAACCCACTAGAATACAATAACACCTAAACTACGTGATATCCAACCAAATATCAAACCATTTAAAATGCGTTATCTTTCAAGAAAGAACAAAATAACCATCCGAAGACATTGAATCGGTAATACTCGACTAACACGCGGTTACTTAATGGCTACAGAAGATCCAGAGCTTCATGCATCCCCTAACCGTCCAACACATCATCATAGACTGCCCAGACTTTGCGAACCACAGGATAATCTACAACCTACCACCAAATCTAAAAGAAGTTTTTTGTTCTCAAGACCAAAAAATTAATATTATTTTAAAAACCTAAAAGACATTAATATCCTTTACAAGTTATAAATACTCAATTATTTTTTTTACATAATAATAATATATTATTTTGTACCTGTGTCAATGGCCCTGGCAGTAGAGACACTTTAATTTTAAATAATAATAAAAAAAATTAAATAACCTAGAAGAAAATGTATCCGACTTAATTTCAAGCTAGTTAAAAATAGTTATTGGTAGGTGATATAATCTTTTGGAAGCATCAGACAAAAAAGTAATAAAATTCAATGACAGATGTAATTCCTATATAGACACAGTCTAAATACTTCAGTTAAAATCCTGCTTAGTGATTTGCTTACACTGCGCCATTTTAATTATTGTGATAGTGTATATATCCCTTGTAGAGATAATATTTATTTTTATCGGATTCAGAGTACAAAAATCGTGTTTTATTTATGGTATCAGAAAATTTTATAGAGTAACTCATGAACTAGGTAACGCTAAATGGTTAAATATGTCTTCTAGACAGAACTTACATATTATAACTTTTTTTTATAAAATTATTATGTTAAAGTCTCCACCAAACTTGTTTAACAAAATTGTTTTTATGTCGCGTTTTCACAACATTCGTTCTCGTGGTTGCACATAAGGGTGACACAAAATTGATCGAATACATTTGATCGAAAAACCATTTTATCGAATAACAATTGATCGCAAAGAAAAATGATCGAAAAGAACAATGGTCTAAAGGAAAATACACCGAAAATTGATTGAAAATAATTCAGAAATAAAAAAGCAAGTGATCGAAAAATCAAATATACATAAAATTCAAAAAATACAAAACTCAAATAATTTACCTAACCTGTTCGGCATAGAGCCATTGCTTGTGGCATCGCAGAAAATACAAGAAATAAAAAAGAACACGTAAAAACAAATGTTTTTCGATCAATATTGTGCCATCCATCGTTTTTTTTTTTTTTTTTTTTTTTTCCTGGGCTCGTCTGACTATGTGTCTCCGAATAACACTGAAGCCTATTGGCTTATTGTGTTTTACCCCATGTTAGTTCATAGCACCCACTCTATCATATTTGTACCTTGTACAAGTTTGTACAGATCCTTGGGTGAGTGGGTTCTATACGTTGTTGGATCAACCTGGGGTTGTCCAAAAAGAGCCTGTCTTTTGCGATCTAGAGCTTCTCATTCGCACAGTATGTGTTTGGCCGTTTCTGGTTTCTTGTGACATAGTCGGCACATGAGTTCCCCATTGTACATGCCAATTTTGTTCAAGTGTCCCTTTACTGGGGCGTGCCCAGTCATGAACCCTGTTATCACTTTCAACTGGTTCCTATTCATTAAGAGTAGTTCTCCAGTTCTTTTGGGACATGGTCTGCCTATGAAGGCTTTTCCATGTGTCTGTTTTGGGGTGCTTCGCCAATAGTTGATATGTTGTTCCCGAATCCAGTCATTTATAAAACCCCGGACTGTACTTTTTGGTACTCCTGAATTTGTGTCTGGTTCCGGTGTTTCTTCTGACCCTCTTTTTGCAAGTTCGTCAGGCTTTTCGTTGCCTTCCCATTGTTCCAGTAGCTGCAAATAAAGATTATTAATATTACTATTTGTAAAAAATCTTTTACAGTTTAAGTGTTCATTTGGGAACAAATTACCCAGATGGTCATATGGTCAATCAACTGAAAACCAATCTTATATTTTTTTTTGCATTTCAATTAACAACTTGTGAACAGGGTCGTGGTATTAAAAAAAAAAAGAATACCTTCTGTATTTTTTTCTACAATTTCCTCTCGTAATCTAATTACCAGCTCAGTATAGTATACCCCTACAAAAGAATACAATTTAAATCTATAGTTGCATTCAAAAAATTGAGTCAAACATAAATCACTCATCTTTTACCATTACAGGTTCCATCATAATATTTTTATGTTTTTTGATTGTGGTCTTTGATTATGTTTTTGATAATGTTCTTGATGTGTTTTAATAATTTCTTTTGATAATGTTATTCGATAATATCATTTCATATTTTTATTATACACTACAATAATTAAAATTTAATTTCTTGTTCGTTTTGCTACTACTGCCTTAGATGAAAAACAGGTGATTATTTCACTGCAATCACCGTCACTTGATTTTCGGCATTTTTCTTTTCTTGTTTCAGTATAATTGCTTTTTTGTCTTTGTTTTTTAACTAGGTAGTTATAGTTATTATTTATCCAACTCCAAATAATGTCAGAGTTGTCTCATTTTTGTCCCAGAAAACTGAAACTAAAGTTTTGCCAGACAATTTTTAAATACATAATTCTTTTGTTTGTGGAAAAACCAAATGTTTTCACTCTTTGGATTGCTCTTTAGTTTCTGGGTCTTAATGATCGGATCACATTGTGTCTGTAGTAGTAAGCCGATCTAAAAAGTTTGAGGAATATTCTTAAAAATTACGGCAGATTTCATTTGAAGTTGTCAACCGAAAGAGCTTCTGATCAACATCCCGGAATCCATTTGGTAGAAAGCTTTCTCATGTTCAAGTCGTGATGAACGATGTGAAATATGCAATGCTTCTGTTATA